GGGGGAAGAGATATAAATTGAAAGATTTGTGAGTTTGGGTGTTCTTCTAATAGTTAATAGTCTAGTGAACAATTTCGTAAAACAGATTTCTGGATTAAAGTGCCTCCCCAAACCAATTGTTTTTTGGCTGGGGTTTGAACTCAGGGCCTCATGCTTGCTAGGCAGGCACTATGCCACTTGAACCATTCCGCCAGCCCCCAAACCATTCGTAATTGATAGAAAGATGGATAGATGGATGGATGAATAGTTAAGTAGACAGATTAGTAGATAGATGATAGATCACAAGAGAGGCTATAGATAGACAGATGATAGATAGATAGATAGATAGATAGATAGATAGATAGATAGATAACTAAAAGTCTGAAGGCAGGATGTAAAACTTGCCTGCATGATCACCTCTTTGCTCTCACTCCTAGGGTCCAGGACCCACTCATAGAGAACAATCTGGTGATCATCACTGCTCTGGTTTCCATTCAAAGTGACAGAGTTTTGGGGCAAAGTGATGGTCTGATTTGGTCCTGGGTTGGCTACAGGTGGATAGTCCACAGCACTGTTGACGATTACGGCCGCAGTTGTGAAGTTAGTAGCTCCGTCTGAATCTGTAATGGTCAGCCTACAAAGAACAAAGCAAGCTGTTACAATTATGAGAATATGCCAAATCTTAACATAAGTGTTCACTTTAGCCTCCTAGTAGTAACAACTCTCAGAACAACTCAGAGCAGGTGTTAATAGAAATTTGATGATGAAGGAAGCTAAGAAAAACATACAGATTTGATATTTTTGGTTATTCTTGCTGTTCATGTGTTTTGTTTTTAGGTCATAATGTAGTCACATATTAGGATTTAAACTTTATGGAATTCTGATTAGCCTTTGAGATGCTGGGTGGAGAAACCATCCTCAGCCAACATACAAGCTGATCTCTAACAACTGAAACTAAGAACGGTGACAGGTGTAGGTTCTGCCTTCAGGCTTAAGCATTTAGAAACAATGAAAGACTTGTGAATTTTTCAGCTACAAAGCTTTTTTTTAAGTTTTAAAAAAACTAGGGGATTTAAATTTTCAGAACTCTCTTTGCAAAGCAACTTTAAGATTAAGCACTTTCAAATACAAACTAATGGTGAACCTACACAAATAATAAGGGAAAGTGCATGAGCCCTCCTGTGCTAATTCTGCAATAATGAGAACAGTGAAATCTCAAACAGGTCACTTCATCCATCTTCAGTAAAGATAGTAGTTGGGAGTGGTGATGAATGCCACATAGAGTAAAGAGGAATACGAGAATGAAGCTATGGGAAGGAACTCTTGTAGGTAAGACACATACGCCAGGGTGCCTGTGTATCTTGGGCTTTCTTTCATTCTATCCCACACACTCCACGCAGCCTAAATCCAAACTCCAGTTCTGGCTCTGGCAATAAACTGATCACCTAAGGTCCCTTTTTCTGAGCCAGCCTGAGCCAGGACAAATTCTGGGCCCTCAATGGAATTTTCTGCCAGTTTAGCAATAGTAACCTTCCTCAACCAGAAACAGAAGAGTAGGTAAATAAAAATGAATTAAAAGCATTTCAAAAAGCAGAATTTCACTAAACATAAATATACCCTAATAAATCAAGTGTTAGAGAAATACTTCTAATGATGGATGTGATAAATGAGGGGTCAAAACTAGACCCCTCTATGTGTGAAAATCTGATATAAGGACATATGTGACATTGCAGGTTGGGAAAGGACAGAGCAGACAATACTGGTGCTGGAACAATTGCTTGATTATCCATATGAAAAAAATAAAATTAGGCCAAACTACAACTGAGACACAAATAATTCCAGATGAATAAAAATTTAAACATGAAAGATTTAAACTTTTACACCATTAGAAGAAAATATAGAAGGTAGTTTGCATTTTGATCCAAGTAAGACAAAAAAAAGTTTGATTGGTATGTGAATAGAAAAAGACTAAAGTTGGATATCAAACTGTTAAGAATGTTTATTTTTAGGTGATGAGGTTATGGAAAATAATTTCTTTCTGCTTAGAGGTGTGTCTTGCTTTTTACTTTTATGGAAAATTTCTATTACTCTCATTAGAATAAAATACTATTTTTGTAACTCTGCCATTGTTACTTGCCCTTTAAACCTACAGCATGCATGGGGCTGAGCCTGATTGTCCTGCCTCCACTGTGCCTCTGCACATCCAGGTAAATGTTTTTTCTCTTCTTTAAATTGTGACAAAACACATATAACAAAACTTACCATTTTAACATTTCAAGTGTACAAGTCAGTAGCATTAAGTCCATGTACATCACCACCATCCATCTCCAGAACTTTTCATCACTGCAAACTAAAACTCTGTGCCCACTAAAGATTAATATCCCCACCCCTTTGCCAATCAGTATTCTACTTTCTGTCTCTATGAATTTGACTATTCAAGGTACCTCATGTCAGTGGAATCATACTCTTGTGTATGATTACCCTTAGCATAAGGGTCTCAAGGTTCATCCAAGTTAAAGTATGTATCAGAATTCCATTCCTTCTTAAGGCTGAATAATATTCTATCATATATATGCAATATATTTAAATCTCACATTTTTGCTTATCCATTCATCTGTTGGTGGACATTCATGCTATTTCTACCTTTGGGCTATTAGGAGAAAAGCTGTTGTGAACATCCATGTACAAGTGTCTACTTGAGTCCCTGCTTTTGATTCTTTTAGTTACACTAGAAATGGAACTGCAGGATCACATGGAGATTCTATGTTTAACTCTTGAAGGATCTGCATAGTGTTTTCCACAATGGCTGCACTAGTCTACATTCCCACCAGCAGTGCTCAGGGTTTCCATTTCTCTATATCCCTGCCAGTGCTTGTTATTTTCTTGTTAAAAAAATAAAATAAAAAATCATTCTGGGCTGGGGATGTAGATCAGTGGAAGAGTGCTTGCCTAGCATATGAAAGGGCCTTGATACAATCCTTAGAACTGTACAAATAAATACAATCAAATAAAAACACCTCACTATCTTGAGAGGTGTGAAACAGGTAAAGTGTTTCTTAAGTTGAGATTTCAAGAAACTAAGACAAATACTATTACAACTATGTATAAAATCTGAAACACTGTAGGGCACCTTTGTGGGTCTTTCAGTCAAACATATATCGCAACAGATTCTTAAAGATTTCTTAGCCAAGCCATACATCAGAGAGGAGTCTATAAATACACGGATATGGGCTCCTTCTCTGGAATTGTCAGATTGTTAGTAAGAGGCATATGAGATCTTAAAAAATAATATACTAAAATATGTGGGATGCTTTAAGTAGTACTTAAATTAAAACTATAGCTTTAAAAACTTCATAATAAAAGAAATAAGATCTAATATAATGACCTAAAATTGTACTTTAAGAAATAAGAGCTGGGCACCATGATTCATGGCTGTAATCCCAGCTATCCTAGGAAGGCAGAGATCAGGAAGATAACAATTGGAAGCCCAGGCAACCAACAAACTGGGAATGGTGACATGTGCTTGTGGTCCCAGCAAATTGGGAGGTTAGAGCTAGGAAGATCAAGATCCACTCCAGCCCAAGCAAAAAAACATGAGACCCTATCTAAAAAATAACCTTACCAAAAAAAGGGGGGGAGTTGGAAGTGTGGCACAAGGCCATGAGTTCTAACCCCAGTAGCATTAAAAAGAGAGAGAGAGAGAGAGAGAGAGAGAACTGAAAAGAAACAAGTAAGTAGAAATAAAGAAATAATAGGAAGCAGAAATAAATGGGCTAGAAAACAGAAAACTGAAAAAGTAACAGAATTCTTTGAAAAGATAAATGAAAGAAAAAAAACTAAGACTAATCAAGAGAAAAAGAGTACAAATCACCAATATTGAGAATAAAAAAGGGTTGTCATCACAGATGGTGTAGTCATTGAAAGGACAGCATAAAAATACTATGAATAACTTTGGCAAACAGATTAGACATTTTAGACAAAATAGACAAATTTCTTCACAAATATGACTTACCCATCTTACCAGAAACTAGCACAAGAAAAAAACAGAAAATTGGAATAGCTTTAGCTTTATTAACAAAATTGAATTTGGCACCAAAAATTTCCCAAAAAGAAAATTCCAAGTTCACATGATTTTGCTAGTGAATTCTACCAAAGATTCAAGGAAGAAATACTACCACTATTTTGCTAGTTACAGTTTAATAATCCCCATACCACACCCTGACAAAGCATTGTTAAAAAAATAAAAAGAAAACTACAGACCAATATCTTTCACAAATGCAGACACAAAATCTTTATCAAAATACTATCAAATTGAGTCCAATACTTTTTTCAAAGAAAATATCATGAGTAAATTGATTTTATTCCAGAAGCAAGAGGTTGATTTAACATTCAAAAATCCCACAAAATACACAAAACCAACTCAAAACACATCAGTGACTTAAAAGCTAAAACTATAACACATGTAGGAAAAATATCTTTGCAGTTTTTGGGATAAGCAAAGGTTACTTACATAAGAACAAAAAAAAAACACACAAAAAGAAAAAATTGATAAATTAGATTTCACCATGCTGGGTGCTGGTGGCTCATACCTATAATCCTAGCTACTTGGGAGGCTGAGATCAGGAGGATCGAGGTTTGAGACCAGCCTAGACAGGTAGTTCCAGGAGACCCCATCTCCAAAATACCCTAAGTAAAAATGGACTGGAGATGTGGCTCAAGTGGTAGAGTGCCTGCTTTGCAAGTGTGAAACCCTAAATTCAAACCTCAATCTCACCAAAAAAAAAAAAAATTGACTCATTAAAATAAAAACTTTTGCTGCTTGAAACATACCATAAAGTAAATAAAAAAGGCAAGGCACACAATGGGAGGAATTATCCATAACCATATATCATAAGGAATTTATACTCAAAATATATATAGAACTCTTATCATTAAGTAAGACAATACAGTTATGAAATAGGCAAAAGATGTGAAGAGATACTTCACAAATTCCAACCACTAAGGACCCAAACACTTGTGTAGAGGAAGAGCTATCAAATAATGAATTCCAAAAAACAATAGCAAAAATGATTAACAATCTCAAAGAAGAAACACAAAAGTTAGTATTTGATCTCAAAGAGAACATGAATAAACAATTAAATAAGCTCAAAGAGAATACAAACAAACAGATGAATGAAATTAAGAAGAATATCCAGGATATGAAAGAGGAAATCAATAAAGATAGGGAAATCCTGAAAAATAATCCAAAATAAACAACTCAATATACCAAATAAATATTGCAATCTAAAGCTTGGTGAACATAGTGAAGCAAATTGAAAATAAAACTTCCTTAACCTTGAGAATGAGAGAGTCACCCAGGTACAGGTAGCTTACAGAATACCAAATTCTCAGACCAAGAAAGAAACACCCCAGACACATCATAATCAAAACACTCAGCACACAGAAAAAAGAAAGAATTCTGAAAGTTGTAAAAGAGAAAAGACAAGTCACATATAAAGGCAAACCCATTAGAATAACAGCAGATTTCTCAAATCAAACTCTAAACGCAAGAAGGTCATGGAAAAAACATAATGCAGGCTCTGAAAGAAAACAACTGTCAACCTAGAAAAGTCTACCCAGCAAAACAATCCTTGC